ATTTTACTCAATAAAAAAATTGTCACTTACCATAACGATTTCAAATCTCGCGCACTTTCAAAATTCCCTAGGAAGAACATATTACATAGATAGTAAACTCAGATGTTAAATTCTCTTCGATAAAATGAACATTCGAAGTTTTGAAAATTCGATGAAATGAGCATTCGACGTTTTGAAAATTCGATGAAATGAGCATTCGACGTTTTGAAAATTCGATGTAATAAGCATTCGGAGTTTTGAAAATTCGATGTAATAAGCATTCGTAGTTTTGAAAATTCGATCAAATCAACATTCGAAGTTTTGAAAATTCGATGAAATGAGAATTCGAAGTTTTGAAAATTCGATGAAATGAGCATTCGACGTTTTGAAAATTCGATGTAATAAGCATTCGGAGTTTTGAAAATTCGATGTAATAAGCATTCGAAGTTTTGAAAATTCGATCAAATCAACATTCGAAGTTTTGAAAATTCGATCTAATGAGCATTCGACGTTTTGAAAATTCGATGAAATGAGTATTCGATGTTTTGAAAATTCGATGAAATGAGCATTCGACGTTTTGAATATTCGATCAAATCAACATTCGATGTTTTAAAAATTCGATGTAATGTACATTCGAAGTTTTGAAAATTCGATATAATGAGCATTCGACGTTTTGAATATTCGATCAAATCAACATTCGATGTTTTAAAAATTCGATGTAATGTACATTCGAAGTTTTGAAAATTCGATATAATGAGCATTCGAAAGTTTGAAAATTCGATCAAATTAACATTCGAAGTTTTAAAAATTCGATCAAGTTAACATTCGACGTTTTAAATATTCGACGAAATATGCATTCGATGTTTTGAAAATTCGATCAAATGAACATTCGAAGATTTGAAAATTCGATGAAATGAACATTCGAAGATTTGAAAATTCGATGAAATGAGCTTTCGACGTTTTAAAAATTCGATCAAATTAACATTCGAAGTTTTGAAAATTCGATCACATTAACATTCGACGTTTTGAATATTCGACGAAATACGCATTCGATGTTTTGAAAATTCGATCTAATGAGCATTCGAAGTTTTGAAAATTCGATGTAATGAGCATTCGATGTTTTGAAAAATCGATAAAATGAGCATTCGAAGTTTTGAAAATTCGATCTAATGAGAATTCGAAGTTTTGAAAATTCGATGTAATAAGCATTCGATGTTTTAAAAATTCGATGAAATGAGCATTCGAAGTTTTGGAAATTCGATGAAATGAGCATTCGAAGTTTTGGAAATTCGACGAAATGAGCATTCGACGTTTTGAAAATTCGATGAAATAAGCATTCGAAGTTTTGAAAATTCGATCTAATGAGCATTCGATGTTTTAAAAATTCGATGAACTGAGCATTCGACGTTTTGAAAATTCGATCAAATTAACATTCGACGTTTTAAAAATTCGATCAAATTAACATTCGATGATTTAAAAATTCGATGAAATGAGCATTCGATGTTTTGAGAATTCGATGTAATAAGCATTCGAAGTTTTGAAAATTCGATCAAATTAACATTCGAAGTTTTGAAAATTCGATGAAATGAGCATTCGATGTTTTAAAAATTCGATGAACTGAGCATTCGACGTTTTGAAAATTCGATCAAATGAACATTCGAAGATTTGAAATTTCGATGAAATAAGCATTCGAAGTTTTGAAAATTCGATCTAATGAGCATTCGACGTTTTGAAAATTCGATGAAATGAGCATTCGATGTTTTGAAAATTCGATGTAATAAGCATTCGAAGTTTTGAAAATTCGATGTAATAAGCATTCGATGTTTTAAAAATTCGATGAAATGAGCATTCGAAGTTTTGGAAATTCGATGAAATGAGCATTCGAAGTTTTGGAAATTCGACGAAATGAGCATTCGACGTTTTGAAAATTCGATGAAATAAGCATTCGAAGTTTTGAAAATTCGATCTAATGAGCATTCGATGTTTTAAAAATTCGATGAACTGAGCATTCGACGTTTTGAAAATTCGATCAAATTAACATTCGACGTTTTAAAAATTCGATCAAATTAACATTCGATGATTTAAAAATTCGATGAAATGAGCATTCGACGTTTTGAAAATTCGATGAAATAAGCATTCGAAGTTTTGAAAATTCGATCTAATGAGCATTCGACGTTTTGAAAATTCGATGTAATAAGCATTCGGAGTTTTGAAAATTCGATGTAATAAGCATTCGTAGTTTTGAAAATTCGATCAAATCAACATTCGAAGTTTTGAAAATTCGATGAAATGAGAATTCGATGTTTTAAAAATTCGATGAACTGAGCATTCGACGTTTTGAAAATTCGATCAAATTAACATTCGATGATTTAAAAATTCGATGTAATGAGCATTCGAAGTTTTGAAAATTCGATGAAAAGAGCATTCGAAGTTTTGAAAATTCGATGAAATGAGCATTCGACGTTTTGAAAATTCGATGAAATGAGCATTCGACGTTTTGAAAATTCGATGTAATAAGCATTCGGAGTTTTGAAAATTCGATGTAATAAGCATTCGTAGTTTTGAAAATTCGATCAAATCAACATTCGAAGTTTTGAAAATTCGATGAAATGAGAATTCGAAGTTTTGAAAATTCGATGAAATGAGCATTCGACGTTTTGAAAATTCGATCAAATGAACATTCGAAGATTTGAAAATTCGATGTATTGAGCATTCGAAGATTTGAAAATTCGATGAAATGAGCATTCGACGTTTTAAAAATTCGATGTAATGTGAATTCGAAGTTTTGAAAATTCGATCAATTTAACATTCGATGTTTTAAAAATTCGATCAATTTAACATTCGATGTTTTAAAAATTCGATCTAATGAACATTCGAAGTTTTGAAAATTCGATGTGTTGAGCAATCGACGTTTTGAAAATTCGATATATTGAGCAATCGATGTTTTGAAAATTCGATGTATTGAGCATTCGATGTTTTGATATTCGATGTAATGGATATTCGATCGAGTTGATTTTTGGGAGATTTCATACGACCGTTCAGGATCACCGAGAAATATGCTACAAAATTATCAAGATGCAATGACTATAGTAAGAAAGTTTGGTAAACCTGATTTGTTTATTACAATGACATGCAATCCAAAATGGAAAGAAATTACTGAAAATTTATTAGATGACCAAACTGCTGCCGATAGACCTGATTCAGTGGCTCGCGTTTTTGAATTAAAAAAAGAAGAACTTATTAATATAATAGTTAAAGAAAAAATATTTGGTGAAGTACAAGCTTATGTTTATGTTGTTGAGTTTCAGAAACGTGGATTACCTCATATTCACCTCTTGATTACTTTAAAACCTAATTCTAAAATTACATCACCTGAAATTGTGGATAAATTTATTTCAGCTGAAATTCCTGATTCTACAGAAAATTTAAGGTTACATAAAATTATTGATGCTAATATGATCCATGGTCCATGTGGAGATTGGTGTTTAGATAAAAATGGTAAATGTTCCAAAAATTACCCGAAACCATTCAATGATCAAACAAATATGGATGAAGACGGTTATCCTCATTACAGGCGACGTAGTACTGCAACTTACAATCGTCGTAATGGTTTTCAATATGATAATCAACGTGTTGTGCCGCATAATCGAGAACTGTTATTGCGATTAAATTTCCATATTAACGTAGAAGTAGTTACCAGTATTAAAGCTGTGAAATATCTTTATAAATACATTTACAAAGGACATGATGCTGCGGCTGTCGTAATTCAAGAAGAACAAAACAGTGACAACTCAGAAGTAAATATTCTTGATCATGATGAAATTAAAAATTATATTGAAACTCGTTACGTTAGTCCACCTGAAGCATGTGGCCGTATTTTGAGCAACAATTTGCAAGGTAAAAGTCATTCAATTTATCGCTTGCCTGTGCACTTACCAAATCAGCAAACGATTATAGTAGAGAATGTGGATAATCAAAATGCAGTCCGATCTGCATTAAGCCGATCAACAGAACTCACTGAATATTTCAACTTAAACGAACGTGATGTATTAGCTCAAAATTATACATATTCTGAGATACCATTACATTATGTATTTCAAAAAAAGAAAAACTCATGTAATGCCTTTACCTGGCAAAAACGTTATCAACATTTTAACACGTTAGGACGTATGTATTCTATAAGTCCATCACAAATTGAATTATTCCACTTGAGATTACTCTTAATAACAGTAAAAGGGGCTAAAAGTTTTAAAGATTTAAAAACAGTTAACGGTATAACACATGATTCTTTTGTAGCAACTTGTTTAGCACTGGGTCTAATTGAAGTTGATGATGAGTGGAAAAATGCTATGCATGAAGCAGAAGTTTGGATGATGCCCAGACAATTACGGCAATTGTTTGTAAGAATCCTGATTCACTGTCAACCTTTAAAGCCTGAAGAGTTATGGGAAGAGTTTAAAATTGCTCTATCACAAGATTTTTCGAGAACAATGTCTGAAAATCTTGCACAGAAAAAGGCGTACGTTTATATTAACACGTTACTTACCGCTGAAAATTCAAGTTTAACATATTTTCCATCAATGTCACAAATAACTGAAACTCAAGATGATGTTGAAAATGAAATACTTCTTGAACAACACGAAACAATTGGTAGTGAACAATACCAAAAGCTTAATGAAAAACAAAAAGAAATTGTTGATATTATTTTAGGAACAATTGACAATGAACAAGTAATTAATAATGACAAAAAACGATGTTTTTTCATTAATGGAGTTGGAGGATCTGGAAAAACATATGTTTACACTACATTGATTCACTTATTACAAAGTAAACGTAAGAAAGTTTGTACTATGGCTTTCACTGGAATTGCAGCTACATTATTACCTCAAGGTTAAACTGTTCATAGGACTTTTAAATTGCCAATTTCAATTTATAGCGATTCATCTTTAACTATTAAAGCACAATCTAAAGAAGCAGAGTACTTAAAAAGTATAGACGTATTTTTTTGGGATGAAGCACCAATGGCTCCAAGACATGCTCTACAATTAGTAGATCGTAATTTAAAAGACATAATGAACAGTAAAGTACCATTTGGAGGTAAAATTATGATACTAGGAGGCGATTTTCGACAAATGCTGCCAGTTAAACAGAACGCTACTCGTAGCGAATTGGTAAATCTGTGCATTAAATATAGTAATGTTTGGCCTGCATTTTTCCAATTTTCTCTTATACAAAATATGCGCGCTTTACCACAAGAAAAAGAGTTTTCATCATTTTTACTACAAGTTGGAAATGGAACAGCTAATTACAATGAAAATGACTTAGAAATTCCTGAATATTGTATAGCTCCTCCGGGCACAAATATAGCAGAAGATATCTATGGTGAAGTAATTCGAAACAAAGAATTTGACAAATTAACGAAAATAGCAATATTATCAGCTCGAAATGTTGATGTCGATGATATTAATAGATCAGTTGTTGAATTATTAGATATTGAAACAGAAAAAATTTACACCAGTATTAACAGTGTCAAAAATTGCGATAACAATGAGATTGGTGAAGCCCTCTTACCTGAATATTTAGAGACGTTAAATCCTCCAAATCTACCACCACATGAGTTACGATTAAGAGTTAATACAGTTGTTATGTTGATTAGAAATCTTTCTATAAATGAAGGGCTATGCAATGGTACACGATTACAAGTTTTAGAATTAAAAAATCATTTATTAAAATGTAAGATTTTAACTGGAGACAAATGTGGTCAAATAGTATTTATTAATCGAATAACATTGTACAGTGATGAACGTTATCCTTTTCAGTTCGGACGCAGACAATTTCCAATTAGAATAGCATTTGTAATGACTATCAATAAGTCACAAGGACAAACTTTTGATAAAATAGGAATAGATCTTAGAAGAGACGTCTTTAATCATGGACAACTTTATGTTGCCTTATTACGTGTTCGGTCTTGAAGTTCACTCAAAATATATTTAGGTGATCAACGAGGGACTAATATTGTAAAAAATATAGTTTATAAAGAAATTTTTCAGGATTAACAAAATAAAGTGTTTTATCTAAATTTGATGAATTAATACTCTATAAATTTGAATCAGTTAAAAATAACTGATTCAGAAGCAAAAAGTCAGTCACTAATTCAAATAGTAATATTACCACTGACAATTAGTTAAAAATAACTGATTTTCAGTTAAAAATAACTGAAGCTTCAGTAAATTTTTTTTGACTGATTCAATTAGTCAAGTTTAACTATTTTTTCAGTTATTTTTCACTGAAAATCAGTTATTTTTAACTGATTCGGAAGCAAAAAGTCAGTCACTGATTGTCAGTTGAAACCACGATTTTTAACTGATTCAAATTAAGAGAGTAGAAACGTTTACTAATTTGAATTAATGAATGACTTTTTGCTTCTAAATTGGTAAATTAAACTATAATAAATAGTAATTTATATTAATTTATAAAAAAAATTTCTAATTCAAAATCAAAAAAGAAGTCACAAATTCAGATTAGTAAATATTTTAACTAATTCAAATTTAGAGAGTTGAGAATTAATAAAATATAACATCATACAAATTATTTTTTATATTCTTTTCTGTTTTTTCTCAATTGAAATTTTATGTTTATAAATTGTGTAAATATGAAATTATCTTTCAATTAATATGTTTGAAGCTGTAATTTAGTGATTCAGTGATTTATATTGAGAATCAATTCCATTTGTGAACATTTATTCAAAAAATTACAAATATAAGATAAGTAAAATATTTTAAAAAGTGTTTAGTGTGTGAAAATTAGGACAAAATAATGAATGTAATAACAAAATTAAAAATTTGAACGGAAACGGACAAAGAACAGAAGCAACGTAGACGGCCGCTTGCGGCCGTCGGAGGCGCTAGTATAAATAAAAAACCAAACGGTCCAGTTAACCCAGGGGTGGGGCAAACCGGACCGTTTGCAAAATTTTTTAAAGTTAACACAGCAACTAAGCAATAAAACATAAAGTATAGGTGTCTCTAAGAAAAAGTTGCGCAATTAAATGATCTTTCAAACAAGCCATCGAAAAATAAAATCGGTTGATTCGTTTAGTCACAAGAGTCAAAAAACCGTTAGGGGGTCCGGTTTGCCCCACTCTCCCCTATAGAAAAATAGATAAACCTTTTTTTGTTCTTTACAGGTACAAAATTTTTATGTTGTCTATAAATCTAAAAAACATTTTTTAAAAGTATACCTATTTTAAATTATTTATAACTTAAACTATTGAATTTAGAAAAATTTTACCAAATGAAGGAAAACTTGTTCTTTCGTCAACTTTTGAATAATGTTGAGAAAAAGAATTTTTTATTAAGTTCTATTAAAAAATTATTTTATACCTAAATTATATTTTTTCAATACACAATTAAAAATGATAAGAATACTTTGTAGTACTTTGTATTTTTAAATAATCATTATCTATCTTAATTGGACATTTTAAATCTTAAGAGTCTGATATATGCTGATATGTAATATTTAATTTGCATTTAAATTAGTATTTAATGAACAATTTCGTTTGTAGCTTAATTAGAATTCAAAATGTTTGGTTTCACGGAGAAACATCTCGATGAAAGGGATTTCGAGGTTCGCTTCATCGAAAAAAAATCGAGCTGTGTTCAGTACCAAACTTATTAAAAAAGACAGTACAGTCATAGAGTACATTGTCGACCTTATATTCAGTGAAGAAGAAATGCATAATCGGGAAATTTGTTATTCTCAAAACAATTTAGGATGTTACATCCTAGACTTTATTTTTAATGGAAAAAAAGCATACATTGATGCCACAAAAGAGTCCCGGTATAAAGCGCGTTTAATAAACCATTCTACTACTCCGAATCTTGTACCTTTTTTACGTATTATGAATGGCGTACCTCGTGCTTTCTTCAGAGCCAAGTATAACATACAGCCTGAAGGGATAAGGACTATATTGTAAGGTTTGAAATCCAGCGGGAAAGTATCGGTTGAATTTTAGACTTTTACTCTACCGATAAATTGTGTAATCTTGGGAGTTGGGCGACAAAAGGGATTTCGAGGCGTGGGGAGGATCGCCGGGTGGGGTTTTCTGCCGCGCGAAAACTAATAAAATCTTTTCCCATACGCGAATTTTCCTCACTTATCAAAATTCGGCAGAGTGTTTGTTTTGTCTCGCCACATCTTTGCGTGTCGCCGACAGCCCAAAGGTAAAAGTGCGATTTTAGCTATTTCATGTAATTCAATTCTTTTTTAATTTAACGGTTATAAAAAATATACTTTTATTATTTTAAATGAAATTTTAGAGTGGCGATTTTCTTTTATTAATGAATAAAATTCGTGGCTGGCAATAAGTGAGGAATAGCGTGTGGGAGCTGGGAGTTCAATTTTGACCGTTGAAATTGCACCAACTTTGTCTCCTGATTTTGAGGCCATTGACGAAGGAGGTCGGTGATAATTTCTTGGACATCTCTTTTATTAATTCAAATTAATATGAACCCCTGGAGGTAATACGAACATCCTGAGAGGGCGGTTTAAAGGGAGTCCAGATTCCGCAATATCCCAGGCTTTTCAACCGACGCTTTCCTGCTTTCGTTCATGCAACATCACGCCGAATGATAAGTTTTATTTTTATTTCTGTTTTCCTTTTTTTTGTTTAAATTTTCTCACCTTGTTCTTATTTTAATCAACGATATCCCGATATTTTACCCTAATGATTTTTGTTATCCTTATCGCTACCTATCTTAATAATTCATTCCCATCCATATCACATATCTTTATACATAGAATCCTGCTCCAATTGAATTCATTCTCCTGATTATTATTTATAACATTATAATTGTATTTATATTGTCGATTGTATTTTATGATTTGTGTATGTGTGAGTGTGAATAAGAGTTTCGGGACACGCGATTTATTTTGTAGCCAAATAATTGCTGAGTTATTATTAAAACGTTTGATCTTGTATTTAATTTTGTGTTCTAATTTCGTCTATTTTGATATGTCATTTTGAATTTATTATTATAATTGTTTTAATATTTTTTGTTCGCTTGATTTCGTTAAAATTTCTGTATTATCATATTTTATTTTGTTACTTATATTTCAAGTCAAATCAAAACGTTACATAAATTGGCGCCCGAACAGGGACACGTGTTTGTCCTTCTGACAAATAAAACGTAGAGAACCTTTGTTTTGTTTGTTGTTGTTTATGAATTTTGTTTACTGCGTTAACTGTTTATATATTTCCATGACCGCTCGAACACCTTTAAAGAATTTAATTAATTTGCATAGTACTGCGGAAGAATTTGTCGTAGAAAGAACGGTGTTGAAATCGACGGAGAAAAATACGAATAATAATAACATGAGTGTGGACAGTGAAAAGGAGATTTTAGAGAAAGATGCGGTGATCGATGAATTGAAATTGGAGGTTTTGCGTGTACGTGAACTTAATGACGTACTAAGCGAACAATTATCTCGAACGCGTCGTTTGAATCAAAAGGAATCTAAAGGGGGGGAGTCAAAACTTGTTCAAACGCTAATTGATGGTTTGCGGTCAATGAGCGTGGAAGTTAAACCGCCGAAATTTGACGGATCTGTAAACCCAAATGTGTTCATTGAAAAGTTGGAAAAGTTTTATAAATTAAAAAATATTTCATTTCAAAATCGCGTGGATGTTTTGGATGGATTGTTTGATGGTCGTTATCGAACGTGGTTCGAGACGCAATCATTTCGTGATTATACAGAGTTTAAAAAAAGGTTTCTCGAGGAATATTATTCTATACCAGTAAGGGTCAAAATAAAGTCAATGTGGCTTGCTAAACGTTTTCAACCAGCGCATGATAAATTGAGTGACTATTTTCTGAGTCAGGTTAGAGAGGCTCAATACTTTATCCCGGAAATGGAGGAGTATGAACTTCATTACACTGTGATTCAGCAAATGCCGCTGCGCGTCTGCGAAATGTTGATTACGGTTGATTTTTCAAAAAGTGATGTTATTTTACAAGCGTTGTCGCAAGCGGATTTAATGTTTGGCGAAAAAGTAAATAGGGAAAAACGGGAGAGAGGGGTCGCGCTGACAATCCCCACAATTCTGAGTCCGAACAGGGGGGTTATAAACCGCGAATCAGAGACATAGAAGTGGGCTAGAGATCTCTCCCATCCTGTTGCTCGTGTGATAGGGGGGTAAATCAAGGTACAATGTCGAATACGGAGGAGGGGAATTTCTTTCGCCACAAGACTGGTACCTCACATAATCAGCGACAAGTTAGATCGCCGGGAAGTTTAATATCCCTTCCAGATATAACTATTCCCCCACTATCGTTAGCCCTACGCTCGTGTCATGTAGCTGGACAACAGTTTCTTAAATCAGTGAATCTTGGAAATAATTTGAAACATATTAAGAAAACGTCGCGTCTTTGTGATTTTTCAGATCTGGAAAGCATAGGAAATGATTTAAATATTTCTGCTCGCGATGAATCTGATAATACAATAAAACAAAAATTTTCAGTGTGCCCTCGAATTATTATTTCCTTTTTATCAGTCCCTATACCGGCATTAATTGACACCGGCAGCCAGATCACAGCGGTGTCTGAATCATTTTATTGTTATTTATTATTACACGGGAAGGTCGAAGAATTACCTGTCACTAATATACAACTATATACGGCTATTGGAAAAAAGGCGACGATAGTAAAGAAGCAAATAAGATGCGATATATCAATTGGAGAGCAGATTATTTCCGCGAGTTTTCTGGTCATTCCGTTTTTATCGAATTCGGTTATAATTGGGAATGATTGGATGTTTAAAAATGATGTTATTATTAATTATGCGACAGGTAGTATTATGATTCTTGGACATGATGTGTCACGGTCGCTGGTGATGTTTAATAATGAGTCGATTGTTAATGAAGCCTCACAGCAAGTTGAGAAAGAGATGTATATTCAAGGAATAGAGTGTGAAC